ACGTCAGTGATTACCATAGTTTAATCGTATTGCTTCTTCTATGGATGGGTTCGAACTAATAGGACCGATTGTTGGCACATAATTATATTATTAAAAACGCATGACTTTGAATAGATTATTCCAGAAAGATCATTTGAGATGATAATTGGTGTTGCAAATCCAACTTGGGTTTACCCACAGAGAGAGGTGATATCCTCAGGGACGTAGGTGCTCATGATAGCAATCAGCTTCGAGAGAGGGACCCAATCAAGAAGGCCGTGGATGCTTCGTACGGGATGACCACTATACAGGACCCGGGCGTAGAAGGACTTCGAACCCTTTCTATCTTTCGTCTCCCTGTAGAACTGTTAGTTAGAGAATACCCGTATTAGAAAACAGTCTGACTTACCAAATTTCGAAAGCAATGTTGGATGCCATAGCAGGCCAGCGAAGCGCCTCGATTCCCAAAGAACCGAGGATAGGACCAATATCCCCATCATGAATAAAGGTGTGGCTGTAATCAAGGAAAGACTTTCCGCTCAGGACAGCCTGCAGACGAGAAACGATCTCGCCAATAAACAAGCCCTCGACAAGCTGGATGTACTTGACTACATCCGGGTTCGTGCGCCAGTAGTAGTTCCACTCCCAATCACCGGCACGGAAGACCTCCTGAGCCATCTGCTTCGTGACACAGGTTGAGGGATCTGACAGACTGCAGGGCAGCTCATAGCCATTGCAAAGACGGCCCTGGAAGTTATCCGAAAAGTGGTCAAAGGTATTCTGCCACGAACTATCTGTCGCGCCCAACATAGAGCCGAGCTTCGAGCGCAACTCCGCGGTAACATTCATATGCTCCTTCCACTGTGTGGTAGACTGCAGACTAGACAGAGTAGAGCTGATAGCAGAGCAGGAGTATCCCTCGTTGACAGTATCAACGGATGAAACCATTTGGTGCAGGGGCAGGGCTCCCTCGTAGTGAGGCCACATGCCACGCAGGACCGCGCCAGCCGAAGCTTGGGTGAGAACGGACTCGCTGGAGCGGAACCAGACGCGGTTGTTTGGCTTGGCAGGGATCAAGCCAAGCTTCTTGCCGTAGACAGACCATAGGTCCTTACCGTGTTGATATCCGTCCTGGACTCCTCCGATGGTGATCTGAGGGTACTGACAGGTGCCGTTCACGCCGGCTGAGAAGGGGTTGGTGGGGTCCTGGTATGTCTGCGCATACATTGGCATGGGCTGGATGCCGCTTGCGCTGTTAGGGCCTGCGTAGAGATACGGGCGCACATTGTCGCAGTGATACTCTTGGTTCTGGGAAGGGGTTAGCTTGGGCCTAGAGTCGAGCTGAGAGTTGCTTACCTCCCCACCTGGGAGAATGTTGTACGGAGTTCGTCGCTGGTGACGCTGCAGATACTCCAGGTACACTAGCTTTCCCTTAGTTGACCCCTTGGTTAGAGCTTCGGGCAGTTCGTATTCCGCTGAACGAGGGTGCGGCATCGAACAGTAGTCATAGGTGCCGTAGGGGCTGCCCCCGGTCGGTCCATTGGTTGGAGCTTCATAGATACCACCATATGTCCCAATTGAGCTGTCGCTGATGTATGACGTATCATTCAGCGTTGGGGGATAGAAGGTGTCCACCGGGGTGTGACCCAGCACAGAGGCTGCCACAGAAAGCAAGACGAAGCTGCGCATGACGGAGAAGGGCTTGAGTGAGGAAAACCAGGACTGGCGAAGGCCTTCAAATATATAGATTTCCGAAGCCATCACCACCAGGCCCAAACTGATAAACAAGATGAAGCCCCACCGCATTGGAACCAGTGGAGATTGGAAAATCGGCGCACGTGGGATCGGCAGGCCAACCTGAGAGGTGCTAGCAACCACGTGGCTCGGCATATAGTATATAACCAACTTTCGGCTAAACGATTGTTCTCAACGTCGTGTCGTCCGATCGAGATGCAATTTCCCGATGTTTCCGATTTCGGGTCTCGGCATTACCCCTGCAGAATCCTGCCGATATCAGATGCTTAGCAAAAACTATATAACATTATATATTCTAGTCCCTTTGATCAGGATATTTGATTATCGGTCGACTCATCTCTCACTTTTACAATGATGTGGAAGGCTTCCCTTGTTATGGCCATGGCCATTCCGCTGGCGTCCGCCGCCCTCGCGGACTACGCACTGCATACAGTCCTTGACAATGCTGCTCCGATCTTTGGATCGTACAAAAAGGTCACAGGGGGAAAATCGGAATGGATGAAGAAATACCACGACAACACTTTGCTCGTTCATATGAACATCCCCGGCACCCACGACAGCGCCACGGGAAGTTACAACCAGGCGACACAAGATGCCCTTCGGGGCATCACAGATCTCAACCAGGTCGTTGTTCCGGTGCCAGAGGCATTGACGTGCCAGGACATCAATTTCATCAACATGCTCGACATGGGAATCCGGGCATTTGATCTGCGATATGCCTTCGATCCAACAAACACCACTCTCATCTTCTACCATGCCCAGGCCCTGCTGTCGGAGAAAGCTAGTGTCAATGATGTGCTCTTTGGCTTCTACAAGTGGCTAGATGATCACCCCTCGGAGACCATTTTCCTGTCATTCCAGTACCAGGGCTCGACAGCTCTGTACGCCGAAAACAACGCGGCTGTGCAGTTGGAGCTCTTCAATACCCTCACCAGCCCCGCTGCGCGCCATTATTTCAAGCAAACCAAGGATGAATTGGGTACCTTGGGCGACGCACGTGGCAAAATTACTCTCATGCGCCGTTTCGACCTGGACCAGCTTCCGGATAACTACACAGCCGCACTTCCCGGCCTGCACTTCTCGCCCAATCTCTGGAATGATAACGGCGCCGCCATCGACCTGGTGTACAACTCGGACAAGAACTTGAGCGCCTACATCGAGGACTACTACCAGCCGCTCACGCCGACTGGGTCCAGTGCGGTTGAGAACATCAGGTGGAAGTACAACGCCACGACGGAAAACATCCATAAAGCCACTACCCAGCACCCGAACAGTCTCTTCTGGACATGGGCGTCTAGTAACAACATCGTCAACAACCCTCCCGATTGGCCTCGGATCATGGCACTTGGAAACGGCACCCACTATACACCGGCTGGTGGAGTTAACCAGCAGCTAGTGCCTTTCCTGAAGAAGCAGAAGGGCAAGCGTGTGGGAATCGTGATGTTTGATTTCTTTGAGCAGCCCTCCAACCTGGTTGATACGCTTTTGGATTTGTGAAATACAAGACGAGAGAGATGTTGTTAGGAGAATAGTCAATGACCAAGCTTAACCTTGGGATCAATAAATTGAACAATGTGGAGCCGAATAGATCGCTTAAACTTCCCTCATCTATCTGTAAACCCCACAATTAAAACTGGATATTTCGAGACCCATCGCTAGTATCACGCACGTGGACACACTCCTATCAGGTTTCTATACCCACGCGGCCCCTCCCAAGAAACAATCAAATTGCAATGCCAATCAAATCCGATACAATGCCCTTGTCCTCCGCTGACGTCAAGCTCTCAACTAGGCTTGCCCAGCTCGGTATATTGATACTGCGCCCAGTGAGAAACCCCATCTTCCAAGTTTCCCACTTAGTCGTATCCAAAGAGCACATGAGACTGGCACAACGGGCAAATTCGTGTTTCTCAAGAATGTCCTCCTGGTCAAGGCAGATGCATCTCCACGCATCATCCACCTTATACACATAATCCCAGATATCATAACATTGGCTGTATTTGATTTTTTGCAACTCAAGCCAGCCAGATCGCACCAAACTCCAATCAGAAGGTTTGCAGTGCTTCTCCAGCTTCTCCCACATCTTCTGTGGGTTTCGAATGTTGCGAACAATCAGCCTGGTCGTGGCAGATAGGTTTGTGTTAATGATTTCCCGCGCCGCCTCATTCAGGCTGTCTAATTGGGGTTCCAGGTGATGTGCTTGAGAAAGTTGGCCGATTTTGCCCTCAACCAAATCCAAAAGAAAATTGCGGCTCAGAATATGCCTCATTTTGCGGCTCCAGGCGCGGTAGTCGGATCGGCCGCGCAAAGGGGGACAATCGCATTCTATTGGGAAATTATCATCACCGAATGCATTTCTTAAGCTGAAGGTACGTTCGATCAAGGTCTCTGCTTTGGTAATCTGTCGGTCGCTGGGGCTTTCGGGTGCGACTGTCATCTCAGTGGAAATCTGCTCCGCGGAATTGACCCGGCGCCTTTTTGCGGGCGAGGTTGAAGGTTCATCTCCCGGAGGTCCTTGCCCAGAGAGGGATCGTTTCGTCAATGGTGTTGAGGAGGCCATGCTGTTTATTCTTGACGCGCAGACCTAGCTCGGTGGATAGGAAAGCTCAACACAGCAGGTCAGGGCAGGGCAATGATAATCGATAAGGAATGTTGTGAGTTTTCAGAGGAAAGGCCACCGTTTATATGTACCTAGCCCGACGCCAGAAATATTCACTTCCAGAAAAACTGGGTGCTCAAATATGCAGCCCTACATTCTTTGGAAAGTCCAGAAACTTGACATTTTAGACATACTTCCCCCTTTTCAACTTCTCTGGATAGCACCTACCGCATGTGCCATCTAGTCTCTCGTGGCAAGGTAACAGCTCGAGTAGCTCCATTGTAATATAGGGCACAAAGAGGATCGATTTCGCAGATGTACCAAAAGCTCCAAAGACCGTGCTTCTTCTTTCTTCCCTGTACTCACATACATTCCGCACAACTCCTTAGAACTCTAAACCTCTCCCACTGAATACCCACCTCGGCTTGAAAGGCCAGTATGCCAGCAACTGCAACGCCCACAAATGCAAAAGGAGGAGCAAAATAGTACTCGCCGCACTACCAGCCCCGCTTGATGCCGAGGTAGCTGTAGATGTACTCTAAGCAAATACACCGGTTGAACCAGTGGAAGTAATGGTGGTGGACCCTATAGGAGATAGGAGAATTACAGGCAAAATTCGATGTCGGAGGTCACGGTTGGTGTAGTTGGTGGTAGAATTTGACCCGTCATGTTGCTCGCCATCGTGATGTTATTGAGGAAGCGCATGAGTGCGTTCCTGTCATGGCAACAGCGATGGAACAAGAGGGATGAAGAGCGTAAAAATGGAAAGAGCGTTCGATGAAAAGCATGAGGACCAATTCACAAAAAAAAGCAGGCGAAAATTTTTGAAGCTAGCATATGATCTACATCATGATGACCATAATCGCTCATGTGTTATTTGGTAAAAAAGTATATCTCATTGAGTTTCAGAACAAGGGCTAATGCTTGACCCAGGGCATGATCTTTCTGACTCGGCACATCAGTGAGGTGGCCAAATTACGGGCCGATCACAATAAAGCGGAGAGCCGGACTACACCGCCTGCTGTATTGGGTTAGAACAAGGCACCGAAATCAGGCAATATTGTGGAGAGGATGACAAATTCTGCCGGAGTAACCTCGGCTTGCCATGACGTCATCGAGAGAGGGCCCTAGCTCCAACGAAGATAGAATACCGCCAGTCTGCTTGTTGGAAGTCCACGCCGTGATCAAAGTCGTCTGATTGATTGGGTCACCTTATAATAAATATTCACGTATAATAGACCAGCAAAAGAAAATGGCCCCCCCCCTCGCAAAGCTCTCATTGCAATCACCTCCGCTCATGCTCCTCTGTACCCGGAGGGCAAAGAGACTGGTAAGCCTCTATTTCGAAAGACAGCTTAAGATCAGAAATAACGGCAACTTGACTTAGGCTTGTTTATCACTGAAGCTTTGCACCCTTTCCTTGTCTTCAAGAAGGCAGGATTCGATGTCGAGCTAGTGTCGGAGACCGGATCTTACCAACCTGACTGGCTCTCGCAGCAGAAGGACTGGCTTAACGATGAAGACAAAGCTACCTGGGAGGATCACTCCAGTGAATTCCGTTCTAAGCTTGATAATCTCTTGAAACCGAGTGATATCGACCCCAGCAACGTACGTCTCCTTTACGGATACTTGGAACCCGAGCTGAGCATTACTAAATCAGTATGGCCTATTTTTCGCTTCGGCTGGCCATGCCTTTTTGATCGACTACCCAGAAGCTAAGGGCCTACAGCCTACAGAGCATTGCATCTAAGATGAACACCGACGGTGCTATCATCTCTGCTGTGTATGGGTAACTGCACCTCCGAGCTAAACGTATTGCTAATTCTGATTAGGTGCCATGGCGGTGAAATTTTCCCAGGAATCATTGACCCGAGTACAGGAAAGTCGATTATCGCTAACCGAAGAGTGACTGGCTTCACTACTCAGGGAGAGGAGGAAGAAGGTGTTCTAGACGCCATCAAAAGCTGGAACCGGCCCACCATTGAGGCCTCCGCTGCAAGCTCGGGAGCCACATGTGAGTTCGATGTTCAAACATCGATTTGTTGTATGTCTGACACGACATTAGATGTCTCTCCTCCTGGCCCTCACCGATGGGCGCCTCGTGACTGGTGCCAATCCCGCAAGTGCGCATGTGACGGCTGAAGCTGCGGTGAATGCGTTTGATGTTATCTAAAGCCTAGATCACTTGGGAAACGCAGGATGCCCTCTGTTACCCAGGTAGTAATAGCAAATATAGTATCATCCATTCTCATTACAGATCCCAGCTACATCGTAGGTGTATATTAACTTCACGGTAGCCTTGAGCGTTCAAAAGCCTCATCAATTTTGGAAGTGGACACCAACTCGTGAAGAACCTGGATATGTGTGAACCACAAAGCGAGATAGTTATGTAGTGGTACCTCACTCAATCTCATGGCATCACTCCCAACAAATCGCTTTGTGGTTCACATGTCTTCGCGAGTTGGTGTCCTTTTCGTTCTGGGTCTTCGATCGGAAAAGACATGGTGATTATGAGCAGCAATCTGGTCAGCCGTGATGAAGTAAAACTAGATGAAAATGTATCACTGAAGATGTATGGAGGAGGATGATAGAGGAAAGGGAAAGGTGGGTCCTGTTGTGGGGTGCTGCCTTAGGATAGTACTAAGTCTTTTTAAGGTTGTATAAATTACGGAGTACGTAACGAGGAGAAGATAACTATCCATAAAAGGTACATTCAAGTAGACCATTGAAATGACCACTGAAATGACTACTGAAACCATGTTATGCCTTTAGTTATTCCTATATATATAGAAAAAGGGATTTTCGATTCGACCAATATAATTTTACATGATATGATACGAAAGGGCTCAAGCTGGATCAAGACAAACATAGCATGAACGAATTCAACAACCAGGGCTTACTCTCTGTTCTGGTCTTTTTGGCAGCAATGAGAAAAATATTGATTGGCAAATCTGGAAGACATCTCAGGCTTGATCTGCTCACTAAAATTTGGAATAAATGCTCTGACATCATACAAGTTTGGAAGTTTGGAAGGTTGATAGTGAAATGGCATAGCATTCCCGCGTTAGTTTGAGTTTTGCGAGCTACCTAGCCCTCTCCATAAAATATCAAGGAAGTTCAATTCCTTCTTTCTCTGCTGTCTGTAAGATGTATTGCTTGACCTGGATAAATACAACATAAATTAGCCATTCTGATCCAAGTGGATACCCATTTAGAGCGAGGTGCTTACCTTGTCATCTGGGACTAGCTGAATCGCCAGTCTACCTTCATTGTCTCTCTTTGCCGCCTCTGCTCCTGACTTCAACAAAAAGATCGCAGCAGGTCCATGTCCTTCAGAGATAGCGTGATGAAGTGCCGTTAATCCGTCACCATCCGTTGCATTGACAGGACTCTTACCCTCTTCCAAGAGGAGCTTCAAGATAGGCACAGACCCTACTGCGGCTGCTCTGTGGAGGGGCAGTTGGCCACGTTTATCCTTGACTCTGGCGCTGCATTTATTGGCAAGCAAGGTGCGGACGGTGGAAAGATTGGCCTTGGAACTGGCGAAATGCAGCGCATTCTACTAGATGGTAAGTCCATGTACATCCAGTAGCCAAATTCGGGTCTCAGAAAGCTGACCTGTCCAGTGTGACTTTTGATAGAAACGTCCGCTCCTTTTCGCAGTAATAGGTCGATCGTTGCGTCGCCTGCGGCATCTTTCAGGCTAGCTGCAATCATGAGAGGCGTCCAGCCGGATCCATCCTATGCTGATTTAGCAAGTTTATATGACGATGGCTAGTCAATTTTGAAAAGGCTTGGGGTTTCTTTTCGAAGACAGAATAGCGATACTCACTTCTACATCTGGGTCGAAGTCCTTCATAGCGACTAGCAATTCCACGACCGGGTGTCGGTTGTAGGCCACAGCCCAGTGGATTGGAAGACGCTCATCATCATCTTTCACGTATGCGGATTTTGGGTTTGCCTGTTTCAATAATTAGCCTTGTTCTTGGAGACCGAACAGTACCAGCTCGAGCTTGATGTTGCGGGGCAGCCTCGGCTCTAGGTGGAGCACAACTCACATTGAGCAACGACTCGACAACCTCATCTAAGGAAATCAGATTAGTGCTTATTTTATACAACGAAGGGTCAAGCTCTCACTTCTTCCTTCTCGGGCAGCCTCGTGCAGAGGGAATTTCTGATCGGAATCCATGACGACTTTGGAGGAGGAAGTGTAATGTTACGATAAAGAGCTCCGATAAGCTGGGCGGCTGAGTCAGTAATATTGAGCCTCGTGATCTCCCGAAGAGGGTAAAATTTGGCCAAAATGAATGTAGTTGTAGGTATCAATTTCCTGCTCTAAAACGATTGAGTAGAGAATATATTCAGTTGGAGGGCGCATTCGACTCATGTAGCCGTCGTTACATATTTGGTAAATCAGGCTAGAACGGGAACTAGCAGTTACAAGATTCGCTACAGAGTAGGTAAACCCACAACCCACAACCCACAACCCAACAGGCTATTACTATTGTTATAGCTTGTTATAAGTGGTCTTATGAATAATTTAGCTCATTAATGAAGATATTCATATGTCTTTTAATAGTTAAGAACTGATCATCTGAATAAGAACACCCGGTTCACCGCCCTCTGACCTCACCGCCCGTTTTGGCCGGGTATAATTGTTGGCCAATTATTGGCGCCTCAGGCATGAACATCCGTTGCAACTTCGATCCAAAGATTCATGCACGTCCTTGTACCATCTTCAACCATATCTTGTCTCGCAGCTGCTAGAGACGCAGCGTCGGTATTCTAATTCAATCAACTGCACTTTTAAAACAAGTGCCGAGACTGACCTTCCGGACTCGATTGCAGTCACGAACTAGCCACAGGCTTTTTTCATCGCGCGCACCATCGAAGTGTGATTCTTTGGAGCTCTCATCCTTCAAAGCAGACCGATTTATCTCACCCCCTCTACATCAGTTCTTTGCACACACAAAATGGACTACAGCGCACCCCATTCCGCCGATGATGCCGTGCGCATGTCCGCGAAGCGGACCGCCGAACTCTTCGGTGCCGAATACCTGATGGTCACACCTTCAACCCTCACAGACGGCTCAATCGGCGTTTCCTACCGACGGAAGGCGGAGTATGAAGATATTACCGAGCTACCAAGATCTCTCGCCGAGAAACAGGCGAAAGCTTCAGCCGGTCGGACAAAACGGCCCAGGATTCAGGCGCAGACACCCGCAGACGGTAGTGGCTCATCCATGTCACTTGTGAGGCGGCCATCGGGCACGGGAGTAGGTGCTGAGGACCAGCCTAAGAGTTTGGTTCAGAGACCGTCAGCCACCAATCAACAGCGGCCCGAGTGGCACGCGCCTTGGAAGCTGATGCGCGTTATTTCCGGACACCTGGGATGGGTGCGGGCTTTGGCAGTGGAACCAAACAATCAGTGGTTTGCTAGTGGAGCAGGAGATCGCACAATCAAGATTTGGAATTTGGCGACGGGCGCATTGCGACTCACTCTCACTGGCCACATCTCCACCGTCCGTGGCTTAGCAGTGTCACCCCGGCACCCGTACCTTTTCTCATGCGGTGAGGATAAGATGGTCAAGTGTTGGGATCTGGAGACAAACAAGGTCATTCGACACTACCACGGTCACCTCAGCGGTGTGTACACACTTGCCCTTCACCCTCGTCTGGATCTGTTAGTCACAGGAGGTCGTGATGGCGTGTGCCGAGTCTGGGATATGCGGACGCGCAGCAACGTACACGTTCTCAGTGGACACAAAGGCACTGTCGCCGATATCAAGTGCCAAGACGCCGACCCTCAGATTATCTCCGGCTCGCTGGACTCCACAGTCCGGTTATGGGATTTGGCCGCTGGCAAAAGCATGGGCGTTCTGACACACCACAAAAAGGGTGTTCGCAACATCGCCATCCACCCCTCCGAATTTACATTTGCCAGTGCCAGTACCGGCAGCATCAAGCAGTGGATGTGCCCCAGGGGCGATTTCATGCAAAACTTTGAAGGTCAGAACTCTGTCATCAACTCTCTGTCTGTCAACGACGAGAACGTTCTCTTCTCTGGTGGTGACGATGGTTCCATGTCCTTCTGGGATTGGAAGACTGGTCACCGCTTCCAGTCTACGGAAACCACCGCACAGCCCGGCTCTCTTGAAGCCGAAGCCGGTATCATGGCTTCTACCTTCGATCGTACTGGCTTGCGTCTTATCACGGGCGAAGCGGATAAGACCATCAAGGTCTGGAAGCAGGACGAAGACGCTACCCCGGAGACTCACCCTCTAACCTGGGCCCCCACTCTCGGTAGACAGCGGTACTAGAGGGATGACCAGCATCACTGGCATTCGTACCCTCCGTTCCGATTTCTCAATACCCTGTATTTATTTTCTTTTTTTGCCATCAAGTTTTTATTGGCACCATGTGGAGTTAAGCGCGGTCTGTGGAAGATCTTTGATCTTAAAATATTCAAACATGTAACTATCGAGACAAATTTCCTCGGAACGGTTTGTTTCATGCTCTAAAAAAAGAGTCCTAACGTTTTGTATGATACAAACCCCAATTGAGCCAAACGATACCCTTGACAATCGACCCTGCTAGACAACACGTACAAGTAGCCTCTACGATTTAGAGTACAGAAGACACAGCTGGACTGAACGGGTATCATATGCAAACTATATTACAGCGTATCGTATCAAAAATCCCCAAAGACAAGCCGGACCATCACCGCTCAATACCCAAACCAAAGCCCTTAGCCTCAGCATCCTCCCTGAAAGCGGACCTGACATCTTCCGCTGCAACTCTGAGCCGAACTTTACTACTCCGGTCGCCGCGAGTGGGGATCGTAGTACCCCCGAGCACACTTTTAGAGCCAGAGCCTTGCTCTAGTGCCAGGACACCCGAGTTCATGAGCAACATAGCCGCATAGCCCAGGCTCCGCACGCGAGCAGTGGGGCCTCCGCCCAGCAGGAAATCTTTCACACCGGCGCCTGCGGCTCCAGCAACGGCGACGGCTGCATCGGCGATGCGGCGGGCTTCATCAAGGACGTCGCCAAATGTAGATTCCGAAATGCCAGTTCGGTGGACGCGGGCTAGTAGGGCAGCGAGGAAGATTTTCCCTGACAGCGGGAGGCAGCGCAATGATT